CAATCCCACACGAAAGTACAAACAATACCTACAGGTGTAAGTGTTGGCAATCCCACACGAGAGTACAAACAATACCCATAGGTGGAAGTGTTGGCAATCCCGCACGAAAGTACAAACAATACCTACAGGTGTAAGTGTTGGCAATCCCACACGAAAGTACAAACATAAAATATAGACATTGCACTTAAAACCTACAGGAGCAAGTGGTTGTAGGGTTTTAGGGTTTATATATAGACATCTACCAGCCATATCTGAAAAGTATTGAAATTGCACCTTGGTATGCCATGATTGTTGGTCTCCACTTATATATCCATATAGTGTATATCTGCACAAACACACAATGCACGCTACCTATATAACTACTCAATCTCTAGCACTTACAGCGACGCACGTTATATACACCCAAAGTCTAGCACTGCTACGTAGGCACACCTGCGCATGACCTACAGTGTGTGGCGGGTGTGCTGTGTGTGCCTGAGTGGGCTGTGTACAGCTCTTCGCACACACTGCTGACGTACGCTGCCGCATGACCCAACGCAGTGACCGTTGGCGCCGCCAGTGATTGTTTGGCGTTGATGTCGTGTAACTCCGCCACACCGTCATCTGTCCAGACAGTGGGACGTGGATGAATGCACCAGAGGATCCGAGTACGGGTGTAGGGGGGGGGAAAGGGGTGGTTTAGTACAGGTGTGTGGGGGTGGGTGGTTTAATATTGGCTTGGGGAAGGAGTGAGAAGTGCTGTGTAAGTGTGCAGGGATGAAGGTTGCATGTACGTTAGAAGTCAATGCACATCTGCCTATAGAATTAGCACACACACATCCATCTAGAGTGATCGATACAACTTAGCAACCCCTATATAACTAGCAAGCATACATCTAGAGCAATACTTAAACCTTAGCAACCCTAATATAACTAGCATGCATACATCCATCTAGGGTGATAGATACAACTTAGCGACCCTTATATAACCAGCATGCATACATCTAGAGCAATACATATAACCTAGATACGTATATGTACCAAGGTGTTGTATTCCACAAGCACGATCCATATCAGACTTAAGACTTGCATCGATCAGACTCACCACTTGCATCTATCAGACTCACCACTTAGACTGACCACTTGACTGACCACTTGACTGGCCACTTGACACCACTTGACTCACCATTTGACACCACTTGACACCACTTGACACCACTTGACACCACTTGACACCACTTGACACCACTTGACTCACTACCTGACTCACCATCACCACTTGCATGACTTGCATTTGCATCGCCTGGTGCCACCTGCGTGTCCTCTGAGTCTATGGTGACGTCTGCATCGCTCGCCTCCAGACGACTCACTGCACTGTCGGACTGCGCGGGTGCGTGGGCTAAAGCGTAGATCTACAAGTGTGGAGCGTGGGCGGCGGTTATGGTTTTAAGGATGTGGTGTGTGGGTGAGGCTGTGGGCTCTATGCGGGGTGTGTGAAATGGTACAATACGTACAGGCTGCTGCTGTTTAACGTCGCTGGGACGGTACGAGAGACATAGCCCGCCCAATGAATACCTCTCCAACCCCATAACAAAAAAATGAACCGATTCTAAATCTATGTCGACAGCTGTGGGTACGATACGATCAGAAAAGACACAGTACTACAACCAATGCGAAAAAAAAACCCCCTGAGCAGGCACAGCCTACCTTAGGTAAACAAACTCAGAGCAGACACACCCTACCTTAGTTAAACAAACTCAGTGCAGGCACACCCTACCTTAGTCCATAGCCCTTCCGACACTTTCTGGAACCCCAGCACACACACCAGCAATGTGTCAGCCATCGGTGTCAAAGTGGTGTCGGTGTCAGGCGATGAGCCTTTTGACACGTCGGCGTCGGAGGGGGCGGGTAGTGCGAAGGAAAGGTCCTCCCCACACCACTCGCCTGTAGGCAGCAGACCCTCACCCACACGCAGTAGAACCTCATCTGAGGTAATATGTGAGTGCACACACGCATTAGAAGCTCATATGAGGTACTAAGTGAGTGTACACACGCACTTGAAGCTCATTTGAGTTAATAAGTGAGTGTACACACACACTAGAAGCTCATCTGAGGTAACAAGTGAGTGTACACATACACTAGAAGCTCATCTGAGGTAATAAGTCAGTGTTCACACGCATCATTATGATATGTGACGATATGTGAGTGCATCAGATATGTCGTAGCAATCACACGAGTGAGTGAAGTCAGGCACCAGTAAGCAGAAATTGAATCACAGAATAGCACAAGTATTGGAAGAGAGAGGCGCAGTTGAGTGGATGTAGGGAGACTGTACTGCAACCTGTCTACGCCTCACACTAGGGTGAGACTTCATCTAAAGTAAGAATATCTACACTGTATTACGTCATCCAGAGAAATAATCTCTACATTGTACGTCATTTGGAGTAATAATATCTACTATATTCCGTCATCTAGAGTAATCGCCTGTCAGATGGGGTTCTGCCAAACCCAACAAACGCTGAACACAAACACTCGGACGACCACGTGGCCTAACGCCACAGACCCAACACACCACACAGACCACTCTCTTCCCCTCCGAAGCAGTGTTGAGCAAACGTGTCTTGTGATGTTGAGCAATCGTGTGCCGTAGTTTTGAGCAAACGTGTGTTGTGGTGTTGAGCAAACGTGTGTTGTAGTGTTGAGCAAACGTGTCTTGGGGTGTTGAGCAAACGTGTGTGCAGTGTCGAGCAAACGTGTGTTGTGGTGTTGAGCAAACATGGCTTGTGATGTTGAGCAAACGTGTGTTGTGGTGTTGAGCAAACATGTCTTGTGGTATTGAGTGGAGGTGTGGCTGGAAGAGCGTGTGTGTACAACACAATGGGGCTACCTGTGACATTGATGCTTGCTATATGAGCGTGTGTGTACAACACAATGGGACTACCTGTAACATTGATGCCTGCTGTGTGAGCGTGTGTGTACAAAACAATGGGACTGCCTGTAACATTGATGCCTGCTGTGTGAGCGTGTGTGTACAACACAATGGGGTTACCTGTAAAATTGATGCATGCTGTGTGAGCGTGTGTGTACAACACAATGGGGCTACCTGTAACATTGATGCCTGCTGTGTGAGCGTGGTTTCTGATGATATCTCGGCACCGTTGCACGTTGGGTGGCGTGTTATTGGCTTCGACATTGTTCGCAATCAGAAGAAGATCATTGCTCAAGCGATCACAGTCGGAAAGAACACTCTCCGCGTACCATGCAATGGTCTGGATGTGGCGGTGCAGGAGGGTGCAGCCAAACGAGACACACCGAGTGAGTGAGTGAGTGAGTGAGTGTTTCAGAAACTATGTGCAAGTAAAATTTAGTGTGTGTATTCGCTCTCTGTGTGTGTGTGTGTTATCAACGTATATGCCGCGAGTGAGCCGTAAGCGTGTGCTTCAGGGATGGTCTATGAGTGTGTTTAAGCGAAGTGTGGCATGTGCTGCTCTATGCGAGTGTGCGTGAGTGTGTCTGATTGCGTGTTGAGCCATGCTATCCTGCTTTCTGCCGCTCTCAATGATTCTCGGTCGAGAGAGAGGTGTGTGTTGTAGCGACGTTACCTAGGCCGAACACAGCAGCAAACCCTAAAACCTTAAAACACGGCAGCACGTGGATGCAACTGCACCGTACGATTGACTACGAAGGGACCTGCGCTGAAAGAAGGACGCACACGTACACACCTCCACAACCGAGAGAGATGTGTAGGTCACCAAGCCACACGTTCGTATCTCAAGGTACAAGTATACTCACATACGCAAGGGTAGGTGAACACAGCCAACGTTTAAGCAACACAAAAGGTCATACTCAACACGCAATGCACGCCCTATACACATACTGCAGCATGGTCATCTTCCGCTATGTCCTTAGCAACGGTAACTAGGGCCGTAAGCGTGGTACACAACTTGTCAGTGGTCGGCTTAGTCTTCAGAAACACCTCCGAGAGTGCCGTTATCCTGTCACCAACCTGTATCAAATATATCACGTACATATAGGTTTATTCATATCATGAGAAAAGTATATATATATACGCACATACACACACACACACATACATACATATATATATACATAGTGTTTGTTATAGTAGAAACACACACACATACGCGCGTGACTAGGTCTGCTAAAATCCTAAAACCCTAAAACAAAAAACACATAACCATCACGTGGCCAAGATCACCCCAAAGCGGCATACGAGAACACACCAATGCGACGACGTCTCTACAGTCTGCATTGATATCCAACACAGCTTGCATGTGCTTCGCGCGCTCTTGATTCAGCGAGGCCAGGCTCTGTTGGGAGAGTGTGGTTGTGTCAGTGTCATTTATAAATATATATATATAAGGAAAACGCCCATGTGCGCATTATATAAATATACTCGGCTAACTCACCTGTTGTTATGATTGGGGGTCGCGTTAGTTGGCCTCAACACCGTACGCCACCAGCAGTGCCAGGCCCTTCCATCTACACACACGCACACACGCACACACCTCTTCACACACCCACATCTATACATACACACACCCACACACCCACACACCTCTTCACATACCCACACACACGCACACATAGATAAAAACGTAAACGTCCACGTGCCCATTATAAATAGACAAGGTAAACTCACCCGTTGTAGTGATTGGGGGTCGCGTGAGTTGGCCTCAACGCCACACGCCACCAGCAGTGCCAGGCCCTTCTCCGCCTCAGCCAATTCGGTGCGTGTTGTGTAGTACGTTTCTAAAGCTTTCTTGTAGTTGAGAATGCTGCGTTGTGGGAGGGTGAGAAGGTTGGGCAGGATGGCTTGATGAGATATGCACGGGTGTGTTATGGTAAGAAAGACACATCTGCGTACAAGCAAGACGTGCAGGTAAATGTTGCACACCTCTGCGTACAAATAAAACGTGTAGGTATAGGTAGTACTCAGGGCGGTGTATCTGCGGTAGTCAATCAGACGCAAACGAAGCACCCACATACATACAATAGAAAGTACTATGGATCACCCACATACACACAATAATAAGTACTATGGACCACCCACATACACACAATAGTAAGTACTATGAACCATCCACATACACACAATAGTAAGTACTATGAATCATCCACATACACAATAATAAGTACTATGAACCACGCACATACACACAATAGTTAGTACTATGAACCACG